AAAGATATTCCATGCACATGGGTTGGAAGAATAAACATGCTTAAAATGTCCACACTACCCAAAGCAATCTACAGATTCAATGCAATCCTAACTAGAATCCCAATGTCATTCTTCATGGAAATAGAACAAAGAATCCTAAAATTCATATGGGGCAACCAAAGACCCCAAAAGACTAAAGCAATCCTGAGAAAAAAGAAGAAAGCTGGAGGCATCACAATTCCTGACTTCAAAGTATACGACAAAGCTACAGTAATCAAAACAGCATGGTACTGGTACAGAAACAGGCACACAGATCAATGGAACACAATTGAAAGTCCAGAAATAAAACCACACATCTATGGACAGCTAATCTTTGAAAAAGGGGCTAAGAACATACAATGGAGAAAAGAAAGTCTCTTCAATAAGTGCTGTTGGGAATACTGGGCAGCCACATGCAAAAGAATGAAAGTAGGTCACTATCTTATGCCATACACAAAAACTAACTCAAAATGGATCAAAGACTTGAAGGTAAGACCTGAAACCATAAAATGTCTGGAAGAAAATATAGGTAGTACACTCTTTGACATGGATCTTAAAAGGATCTTATTGAATACCATTGCTTCTCAGACAAGGGAAATAAAAGAAAAAATAGACAAATGAGACTTAATCAGGCTAAGGAGCTTCTGCAAGGCAAAGGAAACAAGGATCAAAACAGAAAGACAACCCACCAACTGGGAGAAGATAATTGCAAATGATATAGCCAACAAGATGTTAATCTCCATGATACATAAAGAACTCACACAACTGAACAACAAAAAAAACAAACAACCCAATCAACAAATGGGCAGAGGATACGAACAGGCATTTTTCCAAAGAAGGTATACAGATGGCCAAGAGGCACATGAAAAGTTGCTCAACATCACTAATCATCAGAGAAATGCAAATCAAAGCTACCCTAAGATACCACTTTACATCCGTTAAAATGGTTATAATCACTAAGACAGAAAATAACAAATGTTGGAGAGGATGTGGAGAAAAAGGAACCCTCATACACTGCTGGTGGGAATGCAAACTGGTGCAGCCACTATGGAAAACAGTATGGAGATTTCTCAAAAAAGTAAAAACAGAAATATCATATAACCCAGCTATCCCACTACTGGGTATCTATCCAAAGAACACGAAATCAACAATTCAAAGTGACTTATGTATCCCTATGTTCACTGCAGCATTATTCACAATAGCCAAGACATGGAAGCAACCCAAGTACCCATCAACTGATGATTGGATAAAGAAGATATGGTATATATACACAATGGAATACTACTCAGCCATTAAAAAAATCACAAAATCATCCCATTCGCAACCACATGGATGGACCTGGAGAGAGTCACATTAAGCAAAATAAGCCAGACAAAGACAAACACCAGATGATTTCACTCATATGTGGAAGATAAACAAACACTGGGACAAAGAGAACAGTTCAGTGGGTACCAGGAGAAGGGTGGTGGGGGGTGAGCACAGGGGGTGAAGGGGAGCACTTATACGGTGATGTACAAGAAATGATGTACAACTGAAATTTCACAATGTTGCAAACTATTATGAACTCAATTAAAAAAATGTAAAAAAAAATTAGACTACTGGTGAGCATGATAGTCTATACAGAAACTGACATATAATAATGTCCATCTGAAATTACATGTTATAAATCAACATGACTTCAATAAGATAATTGAGGAAGAAAACCCACAATGCAATACCACTATATATCCACTATATTGGCAAAAATTTTACAGTCTGACAATACCATGTATTAATGAGAAAGTGGAGCACTTGGAACTTGCATAAACTATCGATGGGAGTGCTAACTAGTTCAGCCATTTTGGAAAACTGACAGTATCTGCTTAAGCAGATTCCCATACCCTATGACCCAGCAATTTCTCTCCTAGAAATAGACCCAACAGAAATGATACATATGAACACCAAAAAAAGGGTAAGTATGCTTCCAGCACCATTATCCACGAGAGCCCAAAGTTGGAAACAGTCCAAATGTCTATCAACGGCATGAATGGACAAACACAAGTGGGATATTCATGCCCTGGAATACCAGTGCATTTAGCAAAGTGAACAATAAGCTTTTTCTACACACAAGAATATGTATGAATCTCACAAACACAATGTTGAACAAAGGAAGCCAACACAAAAGGTTACATGCTATGTGATTCCATTTACATCTAACTTCAAAAACAGACAAAACTGATGTATGGTGGTTACTTTAGGGAGCTACTGACTGAACAGGAGCACAAGAGGGACTTCTGGGGTGCAAGTACTGTTTTATTTCTTGATCTGGGTGCTTATTATGTGGGTGTTCCCTCTGTGGTAATTTATTCAAGCTGTACAGTTTTGATTGTGTTGGCTGTTTGATCATATTATTATGTATACACTTATCCATATACATGATAAACTTCAAAAAAAGTTCATTTTACAAATTATGGACAAATATATACAAGACAAATGGAAACAAAAAAATAAGCAAGGGCCCTGATCTTGAGCATGCTAAAATATTAAAGCCTACAATTCACAATTATCGAAATCTATGTATCAACTAACAGCGGGAACTTTCATAAAGCAGGAGTTACAGGTTACATAAGATACAATTTCATTAATAACAGAGGATTTTCATAGCTTTTCTCAATCCAAGACAAATCAAGTGGAAAACAAATAAGTAACTATAGACAGACCATATAGCAGATCACAAAGAAAAATTCATTATATTTCCAAGTTAAAAAAGATCACAATGCAGCAAAACTGGAAATTACAAGTGAAGAGGGGGCCTATGTGCTTTACCTGAAGTCCTCAACGTTATCAATAGGGACTGAGTTCCCCTCATGTCACAGGACTCAAGACCCCCCCACAGCGCTGAGGCTCAGACACGACACCATTATGTTAGTTTTCTACTACTGAGTAACAAACGCTCATAAATGTAGTGGCTTAAACAAACTTCTTACCTCACGGTCAGACAAAAGTCTGACATGCTTCTCCCTGGACTAACAAAGTGCTGGCAGGGCTGTGCTCCTTTCTGCAGGCTCTAGGGGGGAATTCATTCCCTAACGTTGTCCAGTTTCAGGAGGCCACCAACATTCCTTGGCTCAAGGTTCCCTTCCTTTATCCAGCCAACAACTTTGCAGCTCTCTAACCATTCTATAATCACATCTCCCTTTGACACTAAATTCAGGCGAGAAAGGTTTACTGACTTTAAGGATCCATGTGATTAGATTGGGCCCAATTGGATAATCTCATTTCAAGGTCCTTAACTTAATCCCTTTGGCCTCTTTTTTTTTTTTTTTTTTGAGGAAGATTAGCCCTGAGCTAACAGCTGCCAATCCTCCTGTTTTTGCTGAGGAAGACTGACCCTGAGCTCACATCCGGTGCCCATCTTCCTCTACTTTATATATGGGATGCCTACCACAGGTTGCCAAGCAGAGCCATGTCCACACCCTAGATCCGAACCTGCGAACTCGGGCCGCCGAGAAGCGGAACGTGCGCACTTAACCGCTGCGCCACCAGGCCGGCCCCTCTTTAGCCTCTTAAAGCAATTTATTCACAGGTTCCGAGGATTAGGATCTGGACTTGTTTGTAGGGGCATTACTCCACATATCCCAACCACGCTTAAAGCTTCTATCATTGGCTTCCCTCTTTCCGAGGGATATTCAAAAGTCCACCTCTTACCACCTCTTACAACACTACCTCTCCAACACTGTCTCCAATCCAACCAAAATAAGCGGCCATATCCCCTACATCCGTGTTTATGTCCATCCTAAGAAGCCCTGGACTCCCTGGCCATCTCCCTCTTCAGACACTGTACTCCTCATAGTTGGTTGTCCCCTTGTCGCACCCCTCCCCAAGTCTTGACGCTTTCCAGTAGGCCCTCTGGAATTCACAATTCATAAATAAACCTCTCTGTTACCTTCAACCACTTCCTTGAACACTCCCTTCACCTTTGTGCCTAACAGAAACCTGGCTCTCCCCAGAGGACTCCGCAGCCCTCTCAACATTTTTTCCCCTATAGCCTTTTGACACTGGGTCTGGGAGTGGGGCAAACGTCCCCCTTGCTCTTATTACTTTCAGACCTTTCTCTCTTCCTCCTCCTAAGAGCTCCAGCTTAGAATTTCACGCCATGAGATTATGTACAACTCACCACTCCTCACTGTTGCTGACATCTACCAAACACAGAATATTTCCCCTTGCTTTTTGAAAACTTGAGCTCATAGCTCACTCTCTACAACACTAACACCCTTCTTTGATTCTTGCCATTTCAGGACGCCCACAGAGGAGCCTGGCTTACTCACCCTTCCCTGTACTTTTACTTTTCCTTCCTCCTGGCTCATTCCCACCAGCATACTGATAGGTTATTTCTCTCCCGACCAGCTGCTGTTCCATTTCTCTGCTCATATTTACAGAGAAACTCTTGGAATATGTCGTCTACACTGTTTCCTATTCCCCTTCCTTCGTTCTGTTACCCTACTCCAACTCAACTAACGGTCACCACAGAAACTGCTCTCCATACTTTCACGAATGACTATGAATGTTACTAAACGCAATGCTCAATTCTCTGTTTCCGGCCCCACGGCTGCTGCCACCACATTTACACACACGGTCACGCACACAGTGACGCATTCACAGTCATATACATACAGAGTCACACCTAAATAGTGCATTACAATCACATACAGCTCCCGTCACCACCGCGCGTGCAAACACACACATATACACATCCCACCCCTATGGCTCCTGGGCGATCACCTCCACACGTTGCTCCTGTATCAATTTCACACAAGCACCCACGGTTCCCACCGTGATCGCTGGCGCGCGCACAGACACACAAACACGGAGCCCCACCACCTTCCTTCTCATGTCCCCTTGCTGGCAAAGCCCCAGACTCCGAAAACGTTACCCATCACTGCCCTCCCCCGCGGCCTCGCGCCTCAGGGGTCATTCCGCTTGCGGGTGTTAGACTCCCTTACCTGACCTTGCGGCCCCCGCTGAGTGTTCCGCAGGGACTTGCGCGCGATCCCTTCTATGGCCCTCAAAGGGCCGGTGCGCGGACTGGACGTTGCCTCGGGTACGGTGAACATTGGGAAATGTAGTCCGGAACCTGGACAGCCTTTAAGAGCCCAGAGACTGACAGTCTCAATTCACAGGCCTTGGTCTTGGACGCCGTCCTTTCTCTCGGCAAACACGGTCGCCCTACACCGTGCACATCTGTAACCGAAAACTTCGACAAGTCCCAAGAGATGTTTAGAACGCAAGCCTCAACTGAGACCCCCACGCTGCTCTTCCTCCGCAAACGGGTGCCCAGCTCTGGCAACCTGGACAGAAAGCCAGGTTGACTGGAAGTAGCCTTCGACGCGATGGCTCCTGGGAAATGTAGTCCAGAGCCGTGAAATACCTCAGGGAGGGCGCTATCCTTTTCAGCGCGAGTTGGCCGCCTGGGCATCTGATGGATGTGGCGTGGGAGAAAGATCCTGTAAGGCGGTGCCAAGCGACCGGCGAATCTTTACCATGTCCGCCTGAGCCTCAGCCGGGACGGAGGATACCTCTTCACCAGCTCCGGCCTGGGGGTAGGGTGAAGGGAGGATCTATGGGGCACAACTCGGTGCCTGGCCCCGGGGTGAGCAGGAGGGGAGGTTTGGAGGTTGGAGGTCACCGGTCTGAGAATCCGTGGGAGCTTCTCTTCGAACCCAGATGTAGTATCCCTCAGATCCACAAACAAACACTTACCTTATTGCCATCTTCCAATTATCCTTAAAGTGTTTGGCTTAAATTAATATCCATGGTTACATGGTTTGTAAATGTTATTCACGTCTGGGCTATTCCTTTTGCTAAAGTTAATACTTCCCAACTTTTCTAATTTGCTTCCTTTCCTACGTGCTCATCATTTGGATGTATATCTAAACTTTCTGACAGGAGTTATTTTTTTCAGTATTTTCAAATTCATCAGGTTATCTTTAAAAATTTTACCATTTAAAGTTTTTTTGTTGTGAAATTGAAAATACCTGAAAAAAAAGTGCGTGGAGTGTGTAAGTTCAGTGTGACTCCAGACAAGTGAAGAAATATTACATTGTTGATATCTCAAAAAGAAATACCTACCCATGTGATCATTTCTGATCCCCAGCCCCCAGCTGACCACTATCCTGACTGTTAGGGTAATAATATCTTGGCTCATCAGTTGTTATCTATCTTTGAAATTTACAAAAATGCAATCAAATTGTATTAACCTCCTGTCTTGCTTAGTTATTAAAATTCGTAACTGGATTAACTCAAAACTTCACTCTAAAGGCTTTGCAGAAGGAAATGTATGCCCGTTCAGGCACAAAAATTATTCTCCTTAGTTACTACTGTGATTCAGGAGCCCACGATCAACCCTCCCTCCAAGGTACAATGATTCACTTGGAGAACTCACAGCAAAACAATACAAAGCAAAATCAGCAAAGAGAAAAGGCATATGGGGGAAAGTCCAGGAAAAACCAGGCACATGGTTCCCAGGATCCTTTCCCCCTTTGGCAATGTGTTGTGACCACACATGTGAAATGTTGCTAACCAGGGAACCTCATAAGAGACTCAGTACCTAGGGCTTTTATTGGGTGCTGGTCACATGGGCAACCTCTGCCCGGCACATACCAGAATTTCAGACTCCCAGAAGGATAGCAGGTGTTTACCATAAGCTATATAGTTTGCACAAACAGTTTAGGCACAGTGAGCCACTCTTATCAGTTAGGTTAGTAGGAACTCACTCAAAATCTAAGTTCTAGATGCAAGCCAGGGGCCAACCTTGCAAGCAGGACTTTCAAAGGGTAAGAAGTCTCAGGTCTGCTATGTTAACTCTTTTCTCCACACTACTGTCCTAAAGAAAATGTCTGGCTTTCAACAACAAAAGATTACAAGGCATAAGAAAAAGCAGGAAAAATCAAGACACTCCCAAGACACAAAGCAACCATCAGAACTAGCCTGAGGTGTTCTCAGCTTCTTGCTGCATAACTTCAATCTCTGCCTCTGTCTTCACGTGGCCTTCTTCTCTTCCATGTCTTCTCATCTTCTGTGAATTTTTTTATGATCATTATCCACCATGTAATCTCAGTAGTTAACTTTTTTTATATTTTATTTTTTATTGAGGTTATGATAGTTTTCAAGCTTGTGAAATTTCAGTTGTACATTATTATTTGTCAGTCATATTGTAGGTACACCACTTCACCCTTTGTGCCCATCCCCCCACCCCCTTTCCCGTGGTAACCACTAATCTGTTCTCTTTGTCCACGTGTTTAACTTCCACGTATGAGTGGAGTCATACAGAGTTCGTCTTTCTCTATCTGGCTTATTTCATTTAACATAATACCCTCAAGGTCCGTCCACGTTGTTGTAAATGGGACGATTTTATCCTTTTTTTATGGCTGAGTAGCATTCCATTGTGTGTATATACCATATCTTCTTTATCCAATCATCTGTTGATCGGCACTTAGGTTGCTTCCATGTCTTGGCTATTGTAAATAATGCTGCAATGAACATAGGGCGCATAGGACTTTTGGAATTGCTGACTTCAAGCTCTTTGGATAGATACCCAGTAGTGGGATGGCTGGGTCATATGGTATTTCTATTTTTAATTCTTTGAGAAATCTCCGTACTGTTTTCTGTAGTGACTGCACCAGTTTGCATTCCCATCAGCAGTGTATGAGGGTTCCTTTTTCTCCACAACCTCCTCAACATTTGTTACTTTTTGTTTTGGTTATTTTAACCATTCTAACAGGTGTAAGGTGACATCTTAGTGTAGTTTTGATTTGCATTGCCCTGATGATCAGTAATGATGAGCATGTTTTCATGTGCCTATTGGCCATCTGTATATCCTCTTTGGAGAAATGTCTGTTCATATCCACTGCCCATGTTTTGATTAGGTTGTTTGATTTTTTCTTGTTGAGTTGTGTGAGTTCTTTATATCTTCTGTCAATTTTAAGGACACTTGTCATTGGATTTAGGGCACATCCACATAATCCAGGATGATCTTACCTAGAGATCCTTAACTTAATTACTTCTGCAAAGACCATTTTTCCAAATAAGGTCACACTCACAGGCCTTGGGGGTCAGGACATGAACATAACTCTGGGGTGCCACCATTCAACCCGCTACAGCCTGCTACTCTGTTTAGTCTTACCCTAATAGATTTCCTTAGAGTTCTTATCCTGTCTCATTGCTACAAATAACATCTAGGTGCTGACAACACACAAATGTTTCTCCTTAGCATGGACTGTCTCAGTGGTTTAGAAGAGGAAAAACCAAACTCTTGATCTACCCCCTAAAATGTGCTCATTCCATAGTTTATCTCAGTAAATGACAATTCCGGTCTTCTAGTTTCTCAAGCTGAAATACTTGGGTCGGCCTAAGTTCCTCTCTTTCTCTCATTTTCCACATCAAATCCATTACCCAATCCTTTCAGCTCTATCTTCAAAATTCATCTGGAATCCAACTACTTCTCACCACTCCCACTGCGGAAAAAAACTTGAAGAAAAATGCATAGAGTGTGTAAGTTCAGTGTAACTCCAGACAAGTGAAGAAATAGTATATTGTTGATGTCCCAAGAAGAAATGCCTACCCTATGTGATCATTTCTGATCCCCAGCCCCCAGCTGAGCACTATCCCGACTGTTAAGGTAATAATATCTTGGCGTATCAGTTGTTATCTATCCACACTAAAGGCTTTGCAGAAGGAAGAGCAAGTCACCATCATCTCTTACCTGGATTATTCCCACAGCCCATTAGCTAGTTTCCCTCCTCCCTTCTTTGTCTCCCTACACCCTACTCTCTACTCAGCACCCTGAGTGAGCTCTTTTAAATGTACGGTAGATCATGTCACTCCTCTGTTCAAAACCCACGGTTGCTTTCACATCTCACTGAGAAGAATAACCAAACTTCTTGCAGTGCTCTCCAAGGCCTTCCATAACCTGTCCCTTCATTAGCTCTTTCACCTCATCTACTACTCTCCACTGTGTCACACTAGTGGGCCTACTTGCTGCTCCTTGAACACTTGCTCCTTGGGAATGTCCGAAGCCTGCATCTCAAAGCTGAATCTACTAGCCATGTAAAGTTTCTAAATATTTCAGAAATTGAAAAGAGACAGCCCTTTCAAAAGTTGGATTATACAGAGAAGCTATCCATACTAAATGTGGCTATGTTGCTGTAGTTCTCCAGTTCTCACGGCCGTCTACAGCTTCCTCTGATCATCTTTTCATTGTGGCTGATGCTCCTAACTGAACAGTCACATCTTCGAATGTTTACCCCACCGATGCCTCCCAAAGAACAGAGAAGAGAAAATGTCCGGGGGGGAAGATTGTAGACATAACCCAAAATAGGCACCCCCATCACAAAATATACTCTGTTTAAAAAAGTCACACTGATTTGGTATTCTATTCCAGAACAAATGTTTGGAATCTGAAGTGTTTATATAAAAATGCTATGTTATTTATTATATCAATTATGTAGCTTTTTCCCCTTAAAATGGAAGTTCCAGGAAGACATGCCTTTATTATCACAATCTGAAGAGGAAATGAGGTTTAGAGGATTCCGATTCCTCCACAATTTCAGCCATCCATGCAGTGACTCACATTCAGGTGTTCACACGCCTACTCATATACATACACACAGATCCACACGCAATCTTTCCCCACACGTGCACACACACAATTACTCCAACCACTCACGCCTACAGTATGACCTTCCATCCTCACGAAGCCACACATAATTTTGATCCTACCTCTCTCTCACACTCATCAATTTTACCCTCATGCAGTTTCCCTTTCACTCAAGCACCCCTCAAACCTAGTCACATGCGCAATCTCGCCACGGTCTCACACATTCGAGCCTTCCTTTGCGCATTCACATCACGACCGGGCTTGCTTGCGGATTCCTCCCCTTCAAACTTCCCGGGCTGGTTCCGTCCCAGATGCTCAGGTCTCCGACTCAGGTTCGTTCTTCTGGCTCCCCGACACGCTCCGCAGCAGCCTGCCTCAAGAGCATCTGCGCGCTCCCAGGGCAAAGCGGAATTCCGAACAACCTCCTAGGCACTTAACTGCGGCCAGGTCCCGCCTCAATGGCTAGAGGACACAGCTTACCTTGGCCAGGTCCATCGGGCTCCTGCGAAGTCCTGGACTCCATTTCCCAGAAGACCATGGGGTCCAGTATGTTGCAGAGGGAGCGGCCAAATCTTGAAAGAGCCGCGCTCTGAGGCTGGGCTGCGTCGAAATAAAATTGCACTGGACAGGTTACACAGGTAAGGAAGACTTTATTAAAGACTATGGCAGAAGGGAAGAGAGGTTGAACTCAAATTGGTATATAACAGTTTCTGGGGATAGATGAAGGAGTCAGTGGATGGAAAATTTCTAAGAGGAACTTGGTTTAGTATCAAAAGTGAGGGGATTCTTGCTGAACTAGGGTCAGCAGGTCAAGGACGAGGTCTAATCAAGAAGAGGACTCAAAGGAGCCTGACTAAAGTTTACTCAAGGGAGTCCTTGTCAGCCGAGACTCCCGGAAGCCTCTGGTGCGCGGCTCAGCTGGAGGACGCAGTTTTGGCCAGGTCCAGGCACGGTGCCTCTGGGGGGGACTCGGGATGACCAGGAGATAGCTTTTTAGCAGCCTGTCGCTTTCTGGACTACATCTCCCAGAAGCCTTTAGGCCTAGTGCTCCCTCCCGCGAGAACTAGGCCGTCTCCCGAGGAGGGGGCGGGATCTCCTGGCTGGTTGGGGCAGACGG